CTTTGATGTTCTTCGAATCGGTGATGGTCTTCGACTAACTACACCAATACAAAGGGATCATCAAAAAAAAGTTGTATATATATATAGGTTCAAAATACTAGTAAAGAAATACTAGTTCATAGAGAATATAAACATGATAAACAATTCAGAAACCAATTAAAATAACAAAAAAAACCCATCATATATATCATATTTTTTATTCCAAAACAAAGAACCAAAAGAAAATTCAATAATGCTAAATGCTAAAAGTGTTGCTGTTATATATCAAGCCCTACCAAGAACCCAAAAATCAAAATGCATACATATAACTCAGTTTAGACATCAATAGGAGGATAATGTCTTAGATGTTAGCATAATACATTATCAATAGGAGGATAACTCAGTTTGGACATCAATGGAGATAAAGACATTTTCAAGAAAGAATCTACCTTGAGAACTGGCCGGTGTGGGTGGAGGACAACCGAGAGAGACGGTGGAGGACGGAGGGGGGATGGTACGACGACGAAGGATTTACGGTTTCTGTTCAAGGAGGGAAAGGGTTACGCTTTCTGTTCAAGGAGGGAAAGGGTTACGCTTTCTGTTCGTGAGTCTGTGAAATAGAAACAGTATACACTTATTCTATTTTTTAATTTTCATTTATATGGCTTTAGACAACGCTTTCTAAAAGCGCTGGCTAATATGGACCTTTAGCAGCGCTTTTAAAAAATGTTGGCTAATAGGATCCTTTAGCAGCGCTTTTCTGTTTTTTTAAAATTATTTTTATGACTTTAGACAGCGCTTTCTTAAAGCGCTGTCTAAAGTGGACCTTTACCAGCGCTTTTGATAAAGCGCTTTCTAAAGCAATACTTTAGCAGTGCTTTTTAAAAGCGTTGTCTAAGGTCATATTTTTAGCAGCGCTTTTACTAATTATTTTATACAGTTTTCGTGTTTTTTTTTTAAATTCACTTATAGAAGCGCTTTTATATAAAAGCGTTGTCTAATATGCGCTGTTAAAAATTACTTTTGGCGTAGTGTTAACTGATTTATGGACGTTAATAATAAATTATTGAAAAATAAACGTGCAGAATATAAAAGATACAAGAGAAATATCCTAATTCACCTTCTCCAAATGAAGGCTAGTCATGTCCCTCAATTCCCTTAGAGGACTTTTCAATATATTTAAAATACTTTGTGCAAGTCTTACACCAAAGCCTCTCTTACAATCTTCTACTACACAAGAAAAATACTACATTCTTAAAATACGGACTTGATGAAATAGTAATACACCACACTTTGTAGATAATTTTGAAAAATTTGTTGATGGCTAGATTTTCAAAGTCACACTTGAAATATGGACTTCTCTCCAATATCACAATTCAATGTAATAACACTTAAATGCTCATTTTTTGTTCTAAAAATCTTATGATTTATGAAAGTATGCAAAGTTTTAAACCTTTTAAACAAAGATGAACTCTTTAAAAATTGATGATTTTGAAAGAGGTGGGATTCATTTTATGATGTAAATTTTTTTATATACATTCATATAAACCTTTTTGAATGGATGCAATATTTTTAAAAGGTTCCATGAAGCATTTGCATGTCTTACAATAACATTGTTTGGTGAAAAATTGTATTTTACATGTGGTGTCGATTACGAAGAGGGTGTTAGTTGTTAGTGTAACACCCATTAATTTAGTTAAATTAATTACAGATTAATGGTTGAAAATGTTGTTGAAATTGTTGAAGTTGCGAAATGTCGAGAAATGTTGATTTAAGTTGCTAAGTTGTTATTTAGTTGATATTTAATTGATTGGTTGATTAATATTAGCAATAATATTAACATAGGTATTAGAATAATATAAGATTTATTAGTTGGTCTCATAATTTGGTTGTATGGAGTAATAGGTGGGGTGTGAAAGTGAGGCCCAATAAGAATATTAATAATTATAAGGTTAAGCTAATTATGAGGATTATGTTAATTAGAAGGAATAAGGAAAAAGTCTTGAGTATTTAATGGGAACGTGGAAGTTGCAAAGTTGCAGAGAAGAGGAAAAGCTAGGTGTTGAATTGGAATGTTATAGAGCGGACTCCAATCCAAGGTAAGGGTGGGGTTCTGACTCTAAACAGGTTGTCTGATAAATGATACGTGGGATTGGGTTGTATAAAAAAATTGCTGTCAAATTCTGTTAATTGTGTTAAAAATGTTGTTGTTGATTTAATGTATTTGGATTGGGTAGCAGTTTTTGTTATTTAGTTAATAAGTTATTTTTATTAATTTCTTCACCAATTTTAAGTAAATTAGTATCATGTTGAATAGAAACTATAAGTTAATTACTCAGTATGGTTAGAGTATAAATTAATCAATGGGGTTTTATTAAGTTATGGAATTATAGATAATTTTAGTAGTAGAATAATATTAAAATAGCAGAGTTAATATTAAAATAGCAGAGACATTAGTATCGAATGTTGTTGTTTTAAAAGGTTAATTTTATGAATGTTAATTTTAAAATAGCAGAGACATTAGTATTGAACGTTGCTGCGTAGTTATGAATGCTGCTGTTTTAAAAAGGTTAATTTTATGTTGCGGTTGGTTCATTCCAGTTTAATGTGTTATGCATCTATTAATAAGTGTCGTTGTTTTAAGTTGAATGTGTAGCATCCTGATTCGGTTGTCGGAATTTTATCACTCTTATTTTTATAATAATCATTGGGTAAAATTGGGGTGTTACAGTTAGGGCGGAGGAGATTGGTCTTTACTTTCGGTTTAGACGATATTGTCTAATTTGATGACATCTCATATTCAATATGCATATGATATCATCTTTGTGGAGGATCCTATCTTTAGAGTATTAAGGCGATCATTAGATGGTTTGAGTTGACTTCAAGTTAATTTCTTTAAGAGGATTTTTAAAGGGGCTAATGTGGACCCAATTTTCCTTACTTATGTAGGAGATTTCTTTAACTGTGAAACCATTCCTTTTAAGTACCCTGGTTTTTTCAATTAGGGCTAATCCTAAGTTGAAATCTACTTGGGAACCTTTACTCAAGTAGATGACTATGAGACTCCATTCTTGGAAGAACAAATATGTTACTTTCAGAGGTATGGCAATTATTCTTAACTTTGTGATTAATGTTATATTTATCTTTTTCTTGTTCTTTTTGAAAATGCCTATAAAGGTTTGATAGAAGCCTGTTAGGTCTATTTCAATTTGGCAAAAAAGTTTGTCTCATCTTAAATTCAAAGAAGAAGATCCTTCTGATTGGTTTGCTGATGGTATTTATAGGAAAGTAGGGTTGGACCTCCAGACTTTATTTTAGAAGGAACCTTAGTTAGGACCTATTCCTCTAAGGGATAAATTCCATGGTCTCTTTTTAACTCCATCCAAAAAGAAGGTCGGGTGGAAGAGATGTGTAAGGTTGATAATTGAGACCAGATCTAGGATCTTAGGTGGAAAAGACCTTTCTTTTTTATAGAGTTATGTGTGTTTGAAAATCTTCTCTCTTTGCTCCAAAATGTTATCCGCTCTCATGAGAAAGATAAGTGGATTTGGAAGTATTCAAGAGGGGTTAGTTTCTTTGTTTCCCCTACCTATCATGTTAAGTTTGTTGGGTCATCCCCATCTTTGTTGGTTGAGAATTTGACCCTTTCACTTATCTAGGGTAGTTGGGATCCTCTTGAAGTGTTGTTATACTCATTGTAACTTCTGCATGAAAAATTTTCATCTAGAGAGAACCTGTATACAAAGAGAGTGATATTGATCCTAGTGGGAGTTTTGGTTGAGTCACGTCCCATCTCTTTGCCACTTGTGAAGCTTTTCCTGTTTTATATATAATCTTTCATTGGTTGGGTTGACATATGGTTATTTCTAATCATCATAGACTTCTTTTTTAGCCTTTCCTTTCTTTAGGTGGTAGAGTCAAGATTATGGATGATTTTGTTATGACCTGACATGCTATAATCTAGACTATTTGGAGAGTCCATAATGATGTCATCTTTAATGTTATTAGAAATAATGAGAAACTGGTAGAAAAGAAGAGTATTCTTTTGACCTTAAAATTATTTCTAAGTAGATTAGAGATGAATTCATATACGTATTTCAATCGTTGTATAACCCTATCATCTATTATAATCAATAACGAATTGTAAGTAATGACAAAATTTTTTATTTTTTCTCTTGATGATATTTGATCTGCCGATGACAGTTCTGATAGTAGGAAGTCTAACCTTACATTTTCTATTTGATTTTGATTTATCATTTTTATTAGTTGTAGTGTGTTGAATTTTCATTTATACCATTGATTGTCCTTTCAGCATATCTTATATACTTAAGGATCATTTACTTATTTTTTATTTTTCTATCAATATATTATTTTGTCATTAATTTTTTTATAAAAAAAAGTTAATTTCTCATAATAGTATATATATTATTTTCAATTTATTATTTTTAACTAAAGTCAAAAACAAATTAAAAAAAAACCCAACAAATATTATGCTAACAAGAATCAACAAATATAGTTAATAAAAATACTTTCTTTTTGATTTTTTATAATTTTTTCTTAATTGCTGATACACATAACAAAATAACTAATACATTTATTTTTTTACTATTCTTATTTTTCCTTTTCTATAATATTTTTGTCATTTAATATTTTTTTACAAATTTTTTCGTGTTTACCTAAAGTAATACCAGTAGTACTGATATTAGATAAGAATTAGTGATCATAAAATACGTAATAATAAGATATATCATAGAATAAAATATTAATCGGGAATAGACAAAAAAAAATCATAATTACATTTGTATTAACTAGATTAAATTCACATAGCCATATTAGGAATGACAGTCATACTTACCTAGTAGGATAACCGTAGTCATAGTTACCATAATACTAGTCATTATTACCCAAAGACCGAATATTGGACCCTAATTTTGTCCCAAACGACGCTTCCCTTCATCCCACTATATAACTTCACCAAAAAACGCTTCTAACTCACATTACTTTTCTTTCAATTTTCAACAATGGAGTCAAATGCCCCTGACAGAGTTTACGCGCTTCACGTTGAAGCACAACCGAAGCCCAGCCCTCTCCTTAAAATGATAGCAGTCGCCTCCATCGCCGCCGGTATACAATTCGGCTGGGCTCTCCAGCTCTCTTTACTCACACCATACATCCAGCTCCTCGGAGTACCTCACAAGTGGTCAGCCAATATCTGGCTCTGCGGTCCCATCTCCGGGCTAATCGTCCAGCCTATTGTCGGATACTACAGCGACCGGAGCCGTTCTCGCTTCGGTCGCCGTCGTCCCTTCATCTTCTTCGGAGCATTATCCGTTGCCATCTCCGTCTTCCTCATCGGCTACGCGGCCGATATCGGCCGCTCTTTAGGCGATAACATAACGAAGAAAACACGTCCACGTGCTGTTGTTATCTTTGTGCTAGGGTTTTGGGTACTCGACGTGGCTAATAACATGCTTCAAGGACCTTGCCGTGCTTTTCTCGGTGACCTAGCTAAGGGTGATCACCGGAGAATGAGAACCGGTAACGCGTTCTTCTCGTTCTTCATGGCCGTTGGTAACGTTCTAGGTTATGCTGCTGGCTCTTATGGTAAACTCTATAAGATTTTTCCGTTCTCCGAAACCAAAGCTTGTGACGTATTTTGTGCAAATCTCAAAACATGTTTCTTCTTCTCAATCATTCTCCTCGCCGGAGTTTCTGCCTTTGCTCTACTCTACGTAGAAGACACTCCAATCGAATCAAAGCAAACAAAATCTCAATCAGAGCCTGAAGATGATAAAACAGATTCATGCTTTGGTGAATTACTAGGTGCTTTCAATGGACTTGAAAAGAAGATGTGGATGTTAATGTTGGTAACCTTTATAAACTGGATAGCATGGTTTCCTTTCTTCTTGTTCAACACTGATTGGATGGGTCATGAAGTGTACGGTGGCGCCACCGGTGAAAAAAATTATGACGCCGGTGTTCGTGCTGGTGCTTTGGGACTCATGGTTAATGCGGTTGTGCTTGCGGCCATGTCTTTGGCGGTTGAACCATTGAGCCGTTTAGTTGGTGGAGCCAAGAGATTATGGGGAATCGTTAATATTATTCTCGCTTTTGCGCTGGTTATGACGGTTGTTATTACCAAAGCAGCGGAACATGAACGCCGTGCCACTGGTGGAGGAACGCCGTCTAACGGTATTAAAGCTGCCGCATTAGTTTTCTACGCCGTCCTTGGAATCCCTATGGCGGTAATTTTAATTTTCTTATCACATTTATTATTATTATTATTATTATTATTATTATTATTATTATTATTATTATTATTATTATTATTATTTCCACTGTTTCAAAATGAATATCTATTTAATAAATAAAATTTATTTTAAAATAAATATTATTCTCATTTTTTAATATAGAAATAATGATTTTTTTCTGATTGTATCTTTTAATTATTATATTTTATATTTTTTTAATATAATTATAAATTAATTTTATAAAAAATATAATATTTTATACCAAAATTATTATATTTTTATGTATAAAAATCTTAAACTCACGTTTATTTTAAAACGGAAAGAGGGAGGGAGTATTATTATTATGTCAATTTGACTACTTTGTATAATTTGGAAAATTTCAATTTTACTTTGTTAAAAGAATATCTTTCTAATTATAATATATTATATTTGAATATTTAATGTCAATATATTATGTCCTTTAGTAAATTATAGTGCATTAAACTATTTTATAGTGTGTACAGTACATTATGATTTTACAATAAAACTCAATAAAAGGCTTTGATTCTCTTACCATCAATAATAAGATTTTTTGACAGGACAATCAATACTAACTACTAAGATATTCTCTAATAGTAATGTAAAACTAATGACTCATTTCATTTAGTTCTTAATTTTAATTTTGGTAAAAATTCAAATATAAAATTAAAGGTATGTTATGCATTATGTTATGTTTATGAATATTTAGTAAATATTTTAAATAAAAATAAGAAATGTAGAACTTATTAATAAATCATGGATAGCTTATTCGAAGAAATTTAATTTTTATATAAGTGTACTACATGAATTTATTTATTAATTAGTTATATTATGATATAGTACATTCATACTGATTAATAAATCATAAACTAATAATTTTATGAACTTCTCTCCAGATTAATTTCAGTGTACCATTTGCTTTAGCATCTATTTACTCTACCTCAACAGGAGCAGGGCAAGGTAACACTATTTTCATGCATAATACTCCTACATCATTCATTTTTAAAAATTATTACTACTATAACTTTTCTGTTCTAATTTTTTCAACTTAATTTTCAGGTTTATCTTTAGGAGTCCTCAATATTTCAATTGTTGTGCCACAGGTTAAATTTCGTTCACATTTTAATGTTCAATTACAATTTTATAATTTATATAGTTATTAATTTAAATATTTTCAGATGATAGTAGCACCATTGAGTGGACCCTGGGATTCCTTGTTTGGTGGTAGCAACTTACCTTCATTTATCGTGGGTGCTGTGGCGGCAGTCATCAGTAGTATTTTGGCAATTGTTCTTTTACCGACTCCAAAGCCAGCCGATATTGTCAAAGCTTCAACTGCCACCCCCGGTGGTTTTCATTAATTAATAATTTATATTATTATTTATTGTTTTTTCTTCTGGTATTGAACACTTTGATATATATGTGTATTAGACATACTAAAGTCCATTTAATATGTGTAGCCTTTTGTGGCTTTTGTTTGGACCTGATTATATAATATGTTTGCATTAGATTTTTTTCATTAAAATCACGATGCAATAGGCTTCTGCCGCGGAACTGAAGCTACTAAAACGGCGTGTCAATTCAAACGTACTTTTTGACTCTCTGAGAATGAATTATTAAAGTTTGGCGTTTCTCAAAAAAAAATTTGTAGATTTTTTATATTTAATTTTTTAATAACTTAAATTGTTTTTATTTAAGTTTTATGATTATTTATTTAATCAGATCGATGTTAAAATTATCAGTTGAACCTAATACTGTTGTAATTTTAGTAGAGAAAATGGTAAAAAAAATTATACTATCAACCAATTATGACAATGAATTCTACCAAATTAAACCGTAATTTTAAAAAAATTTATATGATATAACAAAATAATATGATTTTATTAGATAATAATATACTTTTTAATATTGTAAGTGTATTTTCTTTAAATTCATTTTATTATTGTAAATGATTTTATTACTCTACATTTAATTTTTTTTATAAGTAAAAAAGGTATATTAAAAACTAGCACAAGAGGTAACCCACTAGCAACCTCAACATCCAAGTCTCGACCTCGATAGTCCCTTTCCATGATCATCTCATAAGAATCCTTTAACGAACACCCTGTATCGATCCTAAAAATTGAAGTAAATCTGCAAGACTTTCCCCGTCTACATCGTCTATCAAACTGTCTCGGAAGTTAAGTCGCCACTCCCAAGAGCCATTAGTCCAAAAACCATTGTCATTTACCTTAAGAGCAAGAGGAATTAGCAAATCGAGAAAGAGAAGGAAATCGATTACATAGAGGAGAACCACCCAACCAACGATCTAGTCAGAAATCAAGATTCTCACTATACCCAAGATTACAAGAAATAGAAGAAGGAAACCAATTATCCAACAGATCCGCTCCCCTAAACCGAGCGAACATCTTTCCACCAAACGGAAACCTTGTTCCTTTTGTGAGTCACCAAATAAGAGAGTATAACTCTCCTAATATCGCCATACCTGCAAGAAAGAAGGTTAGTCCATGAAGAGTTGTCCTCATTCAAAATACACCACTTCCACTTGTTATTATTGTAAATGGTAGATTTAGGCGCCTTATAGAAAGAGAAGAAATAAATTGGAATGCTTGACAAAACAAAATTCAAGAGAATCACCCATCGTCCAGTTGATAAACGTCTATTTTACCAACACGCCAATTTTCTACGCAACTTCGAAACAACAGGTCTCCACACCTATTATCTTCTAGGATTAACCCCCACTAAAATCCCAAGAAAGGAAAAAGATATGGAACCCACCACACAATTAAGAAACGATGTCGCTTGAACAAAATTTGGAATCAAGTTAACCCCCAATAACCGACTCTTAGACAAATTAACCCGAGGACCACCTCAAATCCCATAAAAATAGCATTCACACTTCACAAATTATTCCACGATCTATCACCAATCAACAATGTATCATCATCAAATTGAAGAATCTCAAAATGCAAGTCATCATTGGCCCTTAAACCAACAAAATCGCCCAAACTTTAAACTTTCCTCATCATAGCCGACAAACCCTCGACCACTAAAAGAAAGAGAAAAGGGGAAAGAGGATCCCCCTGCCAAAGGCCTCTAGACACCAGAAAGTCTCTAGTTGGACTAACATTAACAAGAATAGACATGGAGTTGTTAACAACAAGCGTTTCCATCCACTGTCTCCACTTACTCCTAAACCCCATCCTCCTCAAGAAAAATCTTAAGTAATCTCAAGCGACACAATCATACGCCTTTTCAAAATCAACCTTCACCATCATACAACTCTTCTCGTGTCTCTTGGCCAAATCCAAGATGTCATTAAGAACCAAAACCCCATCCAACATATTTCCCCCCAAATGAAAGTCGATTGATGATTTGAAATTAACTTCCTGATAACCTTATTCAACCTTGAAGCAAACAACATCGCCAAAATTCTATACATACTACCAATATGACAAATCAGTCTAAAATCATCCTGAGAGAGAGAGAGAGGATTTTCCACCTTCAGAATCAAGGCAAGAAAGGAGGTCATCACCGCTTTTGGGAGAGTAACAAACTCAAAGAATTCATTAACAAACCCCAATATGCCAACCTTCAAAAAATGCCAAACAAACCTTGCAAAACCCCATAACTGTTTGGTCCCAATTTTTTATCGCCATCTCAACTCCAAATGACGTTTCCCACTTCCACTTCTGAGAAGGGAACCTCTAAAACAGTAGAATCACCATGGGATAGTTGCATAAAGTTAACTCCGCCCAAGGTTGGCCAAGAAGATATGGAATCAGTGAATCTCTTCTCAAAATGGGTCATAATCTCCTCTTTGACAATAACACATCATCAATCCACCCCCAGTTTAACCCCACTAAAGAGTTCCTTCTAGCATGTTGCTTGACAGCCTTGTGGAAAAAAAGGGAGTTGGAATCCCCTTCCTTAAGCCAAAATGTCCTTGCCTTATACCGAAGAACACTCTCCTTAAACCACACCAAATTCTAAACTCTACTCGAAGCTAAGGAATGCTTAATGGCTAAATTCTCAGTATTCGTCGGATCACCCCCACCATAACAAAATCAAGAGCATTAAGGCCTTGAAAGCTTCATCCTCTTCCAAATTCAAGTAGCCAAAGATCTCCATATTCCATCTTCTCAACTTCTCTCTTAAGACCTTCAACTTCTCCTTAAAAGAATATATTGCTTTCCCTTCTATGAAAGCCATATGCCATATAGCCTCCACGAAACTAAAAAATGCCTCATGCTCAGTCCAATAACTAAAGAATTTAAAGGGTCGCAGATCCCAGTTGCAAACATTCCCCTTAAACCAAATAGGACAATGATATGATAACTTTATTTTTCCAATCACCTGATTATTCACCTTCCAAGCCTCCAACAAGACCTTTGAAAATAAAAACTAGTCTAATTGTCTCCTAGTAACTCCGTCAAGACTAAGCCACGTAAAATTTCTCCCCACCGCAAACTATATCTGTCACCTCCATCTTCTCAATGAAACCATTAAATTCCTCTATCTTCCTAAAATTATGATACCTCGAATAACTTATTCTTTCATCCTTATATTTTACAACATTAAAATCACCTCCCACTAGGGTTGGCAATAAACTGAACAAACTCAAAAATAATTTGGAACTCAGTTCGACAATTAAATCGTTGAACTAGGTTCATGAACCAAATTAGCTGAATATGAGCGAAAAACTAAGTTCTTTAACTAAATGAGCTGAACTTGAACTATATATAGTTCAACTTGTTAGGTTCATGAGTCAACTCAATTATATATGAGAAGGGTTATATTGTCTTTAAGATCAGGTTTAAATATTTACACCAAATCTTAGCCCTATATTTTCTATTAACCTAATGATTTTAATTGATAATTTATACTACCAAGTGAGCAAAGTATTTCTAAAAATAATTATACAAATAAGATCAACATCAAATAAATTATGTAGTTTTTGAATTAGTATATTTTTGAGGTAAAGTTAAGTTCTAATATAATAACTTTAATTTTATTTTAATATTTTATTTTTAAAATAATATTAATTTAAAATATCAAATATATAAAAAAAAGATTTAAAAAAAAGATTTTTTAAGTCTGTGAAGCAAGCAAACTGAATCTAACAAGATGAACCTAATGAGTTGAACCAAGTTGTTCGTGAACTTATAACGAGTCGAGTTTGAGCTTAAAAAAAGATCGAGTCGAACTCGAACCTGTATTGAGCTGATCCAATTCTTAATGAGTTGAGCCAAGCTGAGGCAAGTTCGAATCAACTTGACTCATTTCCAGCCCTACCTCCCACGCACCACTCCATCATCGGGACCTCTCATTAAAAGACAACATTCACAACATAAATATTTAAACCCTTCCAACACACATTCAGACTCACAAACCCTCCTCTGAAAAGCTGAAAGGAATATCGAACAATCCTTCTCTCCCAACCTACCAGAAGAAGGTTTGAAATACCACTTAACATCTGTACCACCCCACATCTCAAACACTAACTCCTCATCAACCTTCTGCAACTTTGTCTCTTGGATAAGACACAAATCAAAACCCTTCTTCCTAATAAACTGAATCAAACACTTTCTCTTAATAGGACAACCACAACCCCTCAAATTATATGAAAGAGCATTCATTAAATACCTCGATAAAAGACGACCTTATGAGATAGAGAAACACCATCTCTAACTTCTAATTCTTTGATAACATCAATGAATACCTGATTTGAATCCCTCCATCAACTCCAAACATTACTTCCCTAGACCATAACTTTGACGCAACATCTTCATAACAATCCATCAAAAGCCCCAAGTTGTCTTTAACAATAAATGAGTCTGAAATGTCATCAGAAAAAGAGGATTCCTTCCGCAAATCGTTAGGTACTTTACTTCCTCAGACAAATTTCAGAACAAAACTAGCCACCTGTTTACCCCTCTCTCTATAACAGTTCAAAAAAATGATAGATCTTAAGAATTGGCTTTGTAGCAATGTTCCTCTCCGAAAGAGACTCGGGACAAGCAACACACTTCTTTCAAAAATGGGTCTCACCCATTGAGATAATGAAGAAGCTGTAATGTCTCTGTTAATCAATTGGGCCACCAATCCCAAATCCAAACTGCCAAAATCCAAGTCCTAATTATTCATAATAGGGTTAAAAAGGTCACCAAAAGACTAGGCCCAAGACCTTGAATAACTAAATCAAACCAATCCAAGCATCCTGAAACCACCTTACGAACCTTCATCCGCTTCTAAATTTCCACACGTCTCTTACCCGATAGATTCAACAAAGAAACAAAAAAACAGGCGGGACCCACCTCATTTGGCTGCACCAACCTAGGATCTAGGTCCACACATACCACTTTCCCAGAGGACTATACATAACACTCATGGAAGTTTGAAGAATTAGGTAAAGTATTCTTCTCTAAAAGTGACACATTGGATTTATTAGCCAAATACATGAAAATTGTCTCATCACCATAAATGTTGGAAAAGGATTGAACACCATCCTTCCCACCGTCGATCCCCTCCACGTCTGTATTCTGGACATCCTCTATGCCAACTTTTTCTATGGCCCCTCCACCTATGATTCACCATCACCTCCCACAACCCGTGCGTCATCCTCCTCCTACGTTGAAAGATATTCCTCATCCACCTTCAGCCTTCCATGCGAACAAAATCTCAAAGGTCCCTGTGTATCTTCCACCACCTTAAGCCTCATCATCGAACCTGCAACTTTAACCAAGAGAGTTTCATTGATCATAAAGAAAGACTTTTTCCTAATCAAAAGATTAGTAACATCTATCTTCACTTGACTAAAAGTAACATCACGTGCATGAATAAAAGCATTAAACAAAGTTTTGATGAACTTAAAGAAATCCTCGCCCACACATGGCAAGGAAAACCAAAAAGACGCGCCTAATTTACTCTTTCATCATCCATCACCACCGATTCCAATCTTTTGACCTCCATAAACCACATGTCCAGCCACAAAGCACCACTAGTGATGAGGTCTTCAATCTCCCTGCCTCCATGGTCTTCTAAAAGACACAACTTCGCTCCAAAAGGCGCGAATTTCACACCAAAATACCCTTCTATGTCAAAAACATCCTGGATATTGTAAGTCAAACTTGTCTTCTCCATGGTTCCAATAAAAGCCTTGCGAAATTGATTCAAAGCCACCTTATCCACTTGATCAAAAACAAGCAGATGATAAGGGATTATCAAAGAAGATTCAAAATTTTCCATAGTCTCCACCACATATGATCTCTCATCCCTAACTTTGAAGTCACCCTTGAAAAATTCCTTCTTCTTCTGACCCACACCCACCTTCGATTTCAAAGCCTCACCCAACATCTTGTGCTGAAATCGTTGAAACCTAGGAAGATTAATAAACAGTTCCAGGTTTCGCAGAAAAACATTATCCAACTTGGTCGCCAAAAGTTCTTCCTCACAAACATCAAAGAATCTAACGAAATCGAATTTTCGACCATGCTTATTCCTACGCGACAGAATAATAACCTCATCCACCTCACCGTAACCTTCAAAAAATTCACAAATATCCTTTTCCAAAACTTCTCCGAGAAAGATGTGAAGAAGAAAGTAATAGTAGAGCACTTCACATTCTTCCTCACCTTGCTAGCCAAATCCCACGACTTTTTGTCCTTCTTGAATTTTTCTCTCACCGCCAACCCTCCTCAGAATCTCTTCTCTTATCTCTCCTCTCTCCTCTCTCCTCTCTCATAACAACTATATGTGATCCTTGCCTTTTAATGTTTTCACACTCTGACTTTCCATATTCTACACAAGTTACAGAGAGAGTTGATATACATTACAAAAGAATTAATACATGACCTAAAACAAATCATGGGTGTTTTTTCATTTTTAGAATAAATAAAGGCTTAAACGGTTTATTGTTCCCTTTAAGTTAGCGTGTATTTGAAAAAAAATATAGGCAAAAATATACTAGGCCCTTTAAGTTATTTGTTTGTAACAGGTTGTTCCTTCAAGTTTTTTTTTGCAACAACTAGGTTCTTTAAGTTATCAAATGTGTGTATTTTTACCCTTTTTAACAAAGAAAGTGTGTTAATTATGGATGTAATTTGTTCATGTAAAACACTTCTGGATTACCCCCGGAAGTGAATCCAATGATATCACAACTGATTTGAGCGTACAAGGATGATATGAGCCCTGCATACTCTTTAAATGATTGAATCTCCCCATCCAATGATAGAACCTTATATTTTTACCCAATTACTTTCTTGCCCACCACTACCTTATTAAAGGAGGATATCCTTTGTTTCCCTCCATTAATGAGGGTTTATAACTAGCGTCAATGTAATTATGAGGTGTAATTGCTCTCATATCGTAATGGCGAACCTCTAGAGTTTTATTGTAACCATCAAATCCGGTTATAGATCCAAGTAGCGTTACGTGATCTTCTGATCCTTCCAGCATATCTTCCAGACTGCAACAAGTCTATCCAACCTTATTGCTAACCATAATGAATTATGGTGCCTTATCCACAAGGACTTAATCCACTATAACCAACCCGAGTACAGACAACTACAATAAGTCTACCCAACCTTATTGCCAACCATAATGACCGTAACCACTTTCTTCTTGAGACTCTTAACTACAACCTAGTCTCTCAAGGAACTATCAACAACAGTTGATTACAAAGGTGTGTATACAAAGGTGCTTAGATACAAGCATATTACACGATGTTTAAGCACAACAACACAATAGTGCTATAAGAAAGATATGAACAAAATCTCCTTGTTAATTTACAAACTATACAAATAATATCTCAAAAGAGTTGTGCAACATTTTCACGTAGTTTTGTATAACAGATTCATTATTTTCTAACTCTTCTAAGTCTTCCTTTTATAGCTGAAAAGAAATTCGTTTAAGGGTAGAATAGGAAACAAAAATCTAATTGTTTTGTCCCCAACGGTCATGGTAGGAGTGGTATACAAAATAATACCAAAAGTCTGTCCTTGCGCCATCCTAGCAGGGTAGTGATCATAATGTACCTTGTACTTTTATACTCATTATATCACGCAAACCATTCTTAATCTTTATCTTCTTTTCTTCAGTGGCTTATAATTGTAATTTGATGAAGCATGTTCTAGAAGTATCAAAACTTGAATCTTTAGAATCAGAACCTAAGTCTTCAAAGTCTTTAGAACTTGTTCCGGAGAATCTTATCTTCAGATTCTTCAGCACTTGGTTTTCAGAAGTGAGGTCTTCATATCTTCAGAACTTGTTCATCCGAACCTTATCATCAACATCTTTAGAACTTGGGACAAAACAAACAAAGCTTTAGAAGGCCTTTAAAGCTTCCTTGTAATGTCACAGTTAGAATCTCTTGTAGTAACGCTCCTCAGAACTGTTGCATAAGAAGCAGTCCAGGATATTGACTTAAACTATTAACACACTAATATGTATTCTTCCAGAGTGTTGATTTCAGAACCTAATGACGTCACACACATTTCCTTTAGATTCATAACCTGTTTAGAAAAAGTTACACACTAGACAGAAACGATTAGAGTACATAATTATTCTCTAAGATAACATGTAAAGTTATCATCAAAACTTAAGGCCAGATGCATGATCAAATCTTGTTCTTACACTGACATCTTGTCTGAAGTTTTTGTGAGGCCTACTTTCTTTTGTCGCATATGCCTCTGATGTGTGAACTTGGACATTTCATGTTTGTTTGGATATTCCCTTGAGGGGAGTATTGATTATGTGTGACATGGGGAGTAAAGGTCATGTCTGAAGCTATTAAGCGTGGTGTTTTAGTACCGAGCATTTGTGGTGTGTTGGAGTTGTTTTTGGCTATGTTGGTGTGATGTCAGACTATATGTCATGACATATGATTTCTGGAGATTTCCGAAGTTTTAATCTCTAGTGTTTTATGTGTGAGGTTGGGTCTCTCTATTTGCATTTATCTTTGATGTTTTCTATTTGCAGTTTGTACAAAGTTTACATGTATTTCATGTAGCTTGTGTTTTGTGATTTAGTTTGTGGTTTTATTTCTTGTCTCCAGGTTTATTGTGCAAAGGTTGTTTTAGAAAAATTTTCCCCAAAGGGGAGATTGTTAGGTCTGTGATTTTATGATTGGTAACAATTTTGGTAAAACATGTTTCATTTGGTAAAACATGTATCACAACCAGATGTTGAGCAAGATGTCATGACATCTTGACCAACTCTCATAGCAGGTGTTATTGTTGCTTCTAGAAGGTTTTGATTTGATTTTATGAGATTGTCTATGGATATACCTCACATACTTGCATAGGCACAGAAGAATTTATTTGGAAACAAGTGATTTTATCTCCAAATATGTATAAGTTTCTAAAATTGGATGTTGAGATAATTTAGGAAACTTGCGATATTTTTGTTCCATAATTCAAGGAGACTTTTCTGTATAATAGCCCTCAGCTTGTGGATCTACAAAAAATTGGGTAAATAATTTGAAGTCCATGGACATATGATGAGTTTATAAAGAAAAACCTAAACCTAATGTTAAAAAGAACTTAAGAAAATATAAGGGGAAACTTGTTGTGCAAGATTCTTAGGGTTTGAGGGTATTTTATTGTTCTTTGTTTTTGTATGTCATTCATGTATCTTGTTTGACTGATTATTCATTATTCATTATCAATCACTCACGATCTTTTAAGTAAAAAATATATTGTGTTTAATTGGAAGTGTGTTCTTCTGTTTTGGTCTTTTGTTTTTATCACTGAGGTGATTGTTGGAAGTGGCAGTGGGTTCTCATATCTAGGAGGTTCCTAGGTAGGAACTGAATAAGTAGTGATTAGGTGATAAGTTGTAAACTAGGGTTATTTATATTTGAGCTAATACCATCGTAGTGGATTTTATTCCTGGCTTAGATGCCCACACAGTAGGTGAGTTACAATGAATTCAATTAATAATTGATTGTGTCTTTTAATTTCTGCAATTTACTTTTGCATAATTTATTGTTTGATAAAATTATTATATCAACAGATGATGTCTTAACATTTATCTTGACATTGTGTTTTGGTTTTGTTGCATCTGTCATAACATATATTTAAAATTTCCAAGATTTCAAGGAGGGAATGCAGTTATCTTAGGCTGAGTTGGCCTAGGAGACATTGTTGACATCTTAATCAAATATAACCATAATTTAGTATGCGTCATTGGAATCAAATCAATATAGCGAGTCTCCTTCTATTGATTCCTTAGAGGTATGTTTTGATTCTGATTTTGATTCTGATTTGGAGGAGCATTATGTGGCTGCTGGTATGGTGGCACAGTTAAATATGATCACTAGTACTGTGCAACAGCCACATATAGATATTTGTAATATGGCATAAATGTGGTTGTTGATGAGTTGAGGGCTGGTAGGGTTGTGGGTTCTGAGATCCTCCATCACCAGTAATGATAGCATTGGTTTTACCCTTTTTCTTCTTTTGGAAGTTTCCAGGCAAATTTTTTGCATTGTTGTTTTTTAGTGATCCAGCAACACTGACAATTTTGTCGTTCTTCAAGACTTCCTCAACTCTCTCACCGATGATGACTAAATTAGCAAAGCCATAAGATATGCTTCCAACCATATTCTCATAAAAGATCGGTTGCAGCGTGTGATATGGTAGGAGAACTGACTTAGTTGTTTTTCATTTTATCGCAAATGTTGCGGTTAGCAAGAGTTGCCACTGACTTTTCTTTTATCCAAAAGGAAAGGTGAAAAAGCACAGGAAAGACCTTTGAGATTATTTCTTGAGTTCGGGGGGTAGATTATGAAAAGGGAAGGTATTAGCACCCTTTTCATCCATGGTTTTCCATGGGCTCTTAGTTACTTTCTAGATCACTTGCTTTTTGTTTGAAAATGTGTTTTGTGTGGTTTTTGAAAGTATTTTGTAAAGAGGCCATTTGTTTAGGCAAACTTTGTAATGATTCTCGTTCGTAAGAATGTATACAAAGTGTTTGGTCTTTTGAAAATGTTTTCAAGTTTGTAAGATGTTTTGAAAGTGTAGGTGTTTGTTTTGAAAATAACAAGGATGTTTTGTTTTGAAAAGCGAGCAAGTAACTAGGAGCATTCTACCTACTCAAAAGTCTTTGATGTTCATTTCCTTTTTCCTTTGACATTGTTATCTTACCATTGATTTGTTAAGTAACCCTATCTTTGGATTTAAAAGGGACGGGCGTGGGTCATCGTACAACCATGATTAGCAATGTTGCAAGATATCTTAGCATTTTTTGTTAGGGACTAAGATCATTTTGAAAGGCAACGCGTCATCGAGGGACTATGATCTTTGTATTTTGTTTGTTTTTGCTAAGATACCTCACATGCGTAATATGGCTATTTTGTAAGGCAACCAAGTGGATTTACCCTAGGGGCGCAAGTGTGCAAATGTATTAGTTTATTTTGTACCCCAAAATTTGCCCTCCCATTTCCTCAACATTTTCTCATCACCAGACCTTTGAAGATCAAGATCCAATTAGGGTTTCCTCTGCTCAAGATTTCTCCTTGCACTGATGGACCCAAATTAGGGTTTGTGTTTGAACAAAGATGTTTTGGCCTAAAATGCCTAAGATGACTTTCATGCTTCATATTAGACTCCCAAGTTTATCCATACCAAGTTTCAAGTCTTGATTCCAAGTTTTGCCCAATCAATTGGACAGATGACCTAGAAATCAACTGTATTGGGGAAAAAGTCAACTGTGGCCAACTGACAGTCAAATCTCATGAAAATTGACCCACATCAACATTATGAACTCATATGGACCATTTGATCAAGTTTGGATCACAATTCCACAAGAAATTTGATCAGATCACCAAAAGGGCAAAATGGTCATTTTTAGGGTTTTGACTGCACAAAGGCAATTTTTGACTGTTTGACCTAGCCAATAGCAAACCTAGATCACATATGGACTCAAGGACCCCATGGAATTGTCTTGACATGCTCAACAAACTTAAAAGATCCCAAGTACACAAGATTGACAGTTGAATTTCCTAGTCAATTGATCAATTTTGACTGTACACTGAAAAGTCAAACTTTGACTTTTTGGTCAAAATCAAGAGTCAAGATTAATTTTTCATCAAAACATGCCAAATCATGAAACTTGTTCACCAAGAAACCAAGAAATGCAAATTAGGGTTTAAAATGGAATTTTTCATAACTTAGAATTTTTCTAAGTTATGGAAAACCCTAATTTTTTCCCAACTTTGCCCCACTTTTTCACCATGATTCATTTGGATTCAAACAAAAGTCAAAACATGAAAGTTGTAGCTTGTTGCATAATCTACAACTTTGATTCACAAATTTTTCTCATTTGAAGCTTGTATCTCAAGTTACAAATTTTTGAATAAGGGCACTAAACCATTCTTAACTTAGTGAATTTTTGACCTATTTTGACAAGGTTTTCTACCCCACTTCAAGGCCATTTTCCATACACTTCCACTTGGA